TTGTACTTTCCTTCACTCAAGTGAGAGATACCATATGGTATTTAAGCTTGTGTGTCTGGTTTATTTCACTTAACACTGTATTTTCCAAATGCATCTATTTTTCTACAAATGCCTCAAATTTGTCACACTTTATAGCTGAGTAGTATTTCATAATATATAGAGATACCACATTTTCTTATCCAATCATCTGTTGATGGCTATACAGGCTGCTACTGGGATTTAGCTATTATGAATTGTGCTGCTGTAAACATTGGTATGCATGTATTACTGTAGTATGATGACTTAAACTCTTTGGGGAAAATATCTTGCAGGGGGGTAGCTGGGTTATATGAAATTTCTAATTTCAATTGTTTAAGAAATTTCCATACTTATTTCCATAATGGTTATACTAGTTTACATTCCCACCAAGGAGAAACCATTTAAAAATATGGTCACAAAATGTTGAACATAAAAGAATGGAAACAACACCTCTTGCAAACACTGACTACAAGAACGTCCAGTAGGGAAAGATAGTCCTCTTTATATACTTCATGACTATTTGTGAGGAAGAAATACAAACACATCTTGATCCCTACCTCAAATCATATAAAAAAGGGAAACGTGGAAAATCTGGTAGGCTGCAGATCTAAATGTGAATGGTATAACAATTAAGTGTCTAGAAGAAAACATAGTACAGTATTTTAATATCCTCAGGGAGAGGCAAAAATTTCTTGACCAGGACAAAATAATCTACCACATAAAACAATTAGTTGGGTTACATTTATCAAAAGACATCATTAAGAAAATGAAAAGATGGGCTGGGGATGTAGCTCAGTGGAGCTGCCTCTGCCTGGCAAGGACAAGGTTCAAGTTCAATCCCTGATACAAAAAAAAAAAAAAAAAAAAGAAAATGAAAAGGCAAGACACACACTTGGAGAAGATATTTGCAATATGACATATTTCCTGCATATCAAAGAGGCAGAGATAAAGGAACAATAGAAAATTGTGTAAAGACTTGGACAGTCACTTCACTTAAGAAATTATATAAAGGGCCAATATCCTATTAAGATATTTAAGCTAATCAACTACCAGGGAAGTGCAAGTTAAAACTACAATAAAATGAAATTTTATACAAACAAGAAGGTAAAATGCGAAATTCCACCAATGCCGAGTGTTAATGAGAGTAAAGAAACACTCATTTAGTGATGCTGAAGTATGAAATTTGGAAATCTATTAAAGACATAGATAGATACTTGCCCTATGACCCAGCAATTTTATATGTAAAAATAAAATTCATAAGTATAGATAGATAGATAGATATAGGTATAGCTATATTCCTTGAAAATGTTTCTGTCACACTAATATTTTGTTTGTCATACATAACGAATGCTTTCATTGGGGGTAGTTGCTCTATGTACATAACACATCTTCATTCTTCTTAGGTCCCCTTCCTCTCTCCAGCTTTCCCCTCCCTGTATCTCTTGGTTCCCTTCCCATTTGCAAAATATCTCTCTTCCTATTTCCTATAATTTGTCTTTGATTTTGCTCTTTAACTAATTTATACTTTGGATTTTTCATATAAGAGAAGTTGTGTGATGATATTTAAGCTTGTGTGTCTGCTTTATTTCACTTAGCAATGTGGTGTCAATTCTTCCATTTTCCTACAGATGACTTGAATTTATCCTTCTGTATAGCAGAGTGGTACTCCATTGTGCATAAACACCACACATTCTTTATCCAGTCATGTGGTGGTGAACATATAGACTGCTTTCAATATTTAGTTATTGTGAATTGTGCTACTATAATTATAAATTTGTACGTAGAACTGCAATGATGTCTTTTAACTCTTTCAAGAAGTTGTCTCATAGGGGAGTAGATGGGTCCAATTGAGTTTCTATTTTAGGTATTTTAAGAAATCTCTATACTGATTTTCCATAGTGATTGTAGTAGGTTACATTCCCACCAACAAGGCAAAGGGGTTCCTTTTTGCCTCACCAGCATTTATTATTATTGGATTTCTTGATGATAAACCATTCTTTCTAGTGTAAGATGTAATGTCAGTGTTGTTTTATTTTACATTTCTTTAATGGCCAGAAATTACTGTAAACCCCTGAAACATTACTGTAAACCTCTGCAGTAGGCTCCAGTCTCCTGCTCAGTATAGGACACAAGCCCGGTGGGGGAGGGAACCAAAAGACAGAACTAAGAGAGACAAAGTGGAGAGCCAGGATGAACAATGCCGGTGCAACCAACAAAGGTGCTGGCCAATCCAGGCCACTGATTTTTATTAGTAATCAGTTGGGGTAAAGGTGAGCTATGTGCAAGGGCAGGACTACATGAGAAAATGTGCAGTCACACAGTTTCTATGAAAATTAATGTAAGCATGGCTAGTAAAGGACAAAACAAAGCATTCTTGAATTAGGAACAGAATAGACAAAACGTATGGTTGAAATTAGAACATCGTCCTTTTAGTTAAGAAGGTTTCAGTTGTGGGAATGGAATTTGGGTGTGAGTTACTCTGCCCTCATCTACTACGTTATCTCATACTGAGCCCCTCGGCTTCGCAGGCCATTTCTCTGGTCTCTGCTGTGGCCAGCAGTGGGAAGGCCATGCTAACCTGTGAGCTACTGCACTGCTTCTGAGGTGCTTCCGTAAGTCACGTAAGCTTCAGTCAGACTCACTTCTTTTCTTTTTTTTTTTTTTGGTACCGGGATCAAACTAGGGATCTTGCGCCTGTGAGGCAGATGGTGTCACCACTGAGTTAAATCCCTGGCCCTTCAGACTCACTTCTTAAAATGAGCTATTTGAGGGGTTAACTCTATCCAGCCTGCACTGCTTACATTCTTCTTTGGGCATAATCAATATTGCAATATCCTGCAAGAAAGAGTGAACACTTTTTCATATATTTATTGGCCACTCATATTTCTTCTGGGAAGTGCCTATTCACTTTAACTATCCATTTTTTTACTAGGTCTTTTATTTGGAAGAGGTCTACTTTTTTGTATATTCTAGATATTAGTTGTTTTTCCAAGGTGTAGCTGGCAAATTTTTTTCCCTTTGTGTAGCTTGTCTGTTCACTCTTTTGGTTGAAACTTACTTGTTTGTGATGTATAATCTTTTTGATGGTTTGCTACATTCTACTTGCCAATATTTGTTGAGGAGTTTTGTGTCTATGTTCATTAAAGAGATTGGCCTGTAGTTTTCTTTTATAGTTGGGTTCTTTTCTTGTTTTGGAATCACAGCAATGCTTGATTTCAGGAATGAATTTGGAGATACACCTTCCCTTTAAATTTCATTAAGAAGTTTGTAGGGTATTGGCATTATGTTCTCCCTGAAGGTTCTGTAAAACTTAGTGGTGAATCCATCTGGTCTTTACCGTTTTTTGATGGTAGGTTTTTATTTCCTGCTACACAGTTATTGCCTTTAATTAGATGGTACATAGTTTTTCATGTCTTCTTGGATCAGTTTTGGTAACTCATATGTATCTAGGAATCTATTCATTTCTTTAAGATTCTCCAAATGGTTGGAATACATTTTTCATAGTAGTTACTCATGGTCTTCTGGTTTTTTGTGGTGTCCATTGTGACTTCACCTTTTTCATTTGTAATTGCATTGATGTGGGTCTTTTCTTTACACCTTTTGCTAAGTTTGTCCAAGGGTTTGTCTATTTTGTTTATTTTTTTCAAAGAGAAAGTTCTTTGGTTCATTGATTCTTTGTATGTTTTTTTCATTGCAAATGTATTAATTTCTTTTCTGGAGTTTATACTTTCCTTTTACTAGGTTTGGGCTTGGACTGTTCTTATTTTTTCTAGTTTCTTGAGGTGCATTATTAGGTTATTTATTTGAGCTCACTCTGTTTTTCTAATGTGAGCATTCACAGCAATAAATGCCCATCTTGGAATTGCTTTCATGTGTTCCATATATTATGGTATGTTGTACTGGCACTCTCATTTGATTCCAGGGATTGTTTATATCTTCTTTGATTTCTTCTGTGAGTCACTGAGTGTTCAGTGGTGTGTTAATTTTTCCAGGTGTTTGTAAAATTTCTGTGGCTCTTTTGCAATTGATTTCTAGTTTTAGGGCCCTATGATCTGATAGTATATATGGGGTGATTTCAATTCATTTGTATTTATTTAAGCAGGCTTTATGGACTAGTATGAGGTCTATTTTGGATGAAGTTCTGCATGCTTTTGAGAAGAATGTGTGTTCTGTTATGAGAGGGTAGGACAGTCTGTAGATATTTACTAAGTCCATTTGTTCAAAAGTTGGTTCTGGTCTGATATTTCTTTGTTAATTTTTCATTTAGTTGATGTATTTGTGAATTGAGGTCATCTACTATGATTGTATTGGTGTTTAATCTTTTATGCCCAGTAGTGTTTGTTTTATGAAGTTATATGTACTGATACTTGATGCATATACATTTATAATTGTTATCTCTTCTTGTTGAATTGTTCCCTTAATTAATATGTAGTGAGCTTCTTTGCTGTTTCTGATCAGTGTTAGCTTAAAGTTTACTTTGTCTGAGAATAAAGTTGCTACCCCTGCTTGCTTTTGGGGTCTGGCAAATGGAAAATTGTTTTCTGTTCTTTGGTTTTGTCATCTTTGGACTTCTTTTGGATTAGACAATTCTGTTGAATGCAACAGACTGTTGGTTTTGTGTGTTTTTTTTTTAAATTTTTTGAGACAGGTTCTCACTATGTTCAGTCTACCCTTGAACTCACTGTGCAGCTGGGCTGGCCCTGAAATTGTAGTGATCCTCTTGCCTCAGCCTCCCAAGTGTTGGAATTATGGAGATGTGCCACCATACCTGGCAAGTTTTGTTTTGTGATCCAGTCTGCCAATCTGTGTCTTTTAATTGGGGAGTTGAGATCATTTACATAGAGAGTTATTACTGAAAGCTGTTGACTGATCCCTATCATTGTGTTTTTTATTCTGTTGTTCAGTCCTTTATTTTTTCCTTTTTGTTTAACACATTCAGGACAGGCCATAATTCATATGTCTCACTGCCAGGCAGCTTATACCATCAGTGGTGCATACATCTTCCGGATGGGGTTGTCCATGGTATCTGATGGGACAGTCATGCATGTACCATTGATGGTTCAAGCTGGCAGGAAGGTGTCATATTGCCTTGATTGATATATTCATTCCATCTGACTTTTTGGCTTTATTGGCTTCATTGTCTTTCTCTAGGATATCCTTGAAATTATTTTGAAGTGCTGGTTTTATTTTCACTAATCTCTTAAGTTTTTTTTATGGAATGTCCTTATCTTAATCAATTTTGAAAGATAGTTTTGCAGGATATATTAGTCTGGGTTGGAAGTTGTTTTCTTTCAGGGCTTGAAACACTTCATTCAATGCTCTCTTGGGTTTCAAAGTTTGTGTTGAAGTCTGCTGTAATTCTAATAGGGTTAACATTTATAAGTGGTTATTTTGCTTTTTGTTGACAACTTTCAAGATTCTGCATTTTGTTAGACATCTCAGATTTTGACTATGATATATTGTGGGGAGCTTTTTTTATCATTGTATTTATCTGAAATTCTCTAAGCCTTGCTTACCTGTATGTTGAGTTCTTTTTCCATACTGAAAATGTTTCTGCTATGATTTCTATAAACAGATTTTTTTTCATGTGTGCTGATTTTATTTTCTCTTTAACTTCAATTAGCCTTAGGTAAGTATTCTTAGTGTCATCTGGTAGCTGTTGGATGAATTTTCTTATTCTACTTTTTAAGATTTCTGAGTAGACCCTCATGAATTTCCATTTTGTCCTCATTTTCTGAAAATCTATCTACACATTGATCATTTCTGCCATCTATGAATTCTGTAGGATTCATCTCCAGGTTTTCTGTTTGGCACCTTTTCATAAAGTCTGTATCTTTGGTAAATTTGTCATTCACATTTTGAACCATTTTGGTCAGCTCTTCCAATTTTCTATGTCTTTCCCCCATAACCACATTGGACAGTTTGTATGATAGCCTTACTATATCTTGGCTTATGTCCTCTTTAAACTTGCAAAGCTTCTTTGTTTCCTCTTTAATCATTTTGTACATTTTAATTATCCAGTGTTTGCATTCCTTTCCTTTGGTATCCCTTGAATCTGCTTTGGGAGAGTTGGGAGTCATGGAGGCATTATGTTGCCTTGTTTTCTCATGTTCCTATTTGTGTGTGTGTGTGTGTGTGTGTGTGTGTGCGTGCGTGCATATGCTGAGGATTGAGATCCAATAGAGTGAAGAGAGTTTATTGTTGATATGAAGATCTTTTTAATTAGGCTTTGTTTTCCAGTGATGTGTTTTTGGCTTTGTCAAGAGATATTGTTTACCACTGCAACCTATTCAATTTAATTGAGTTGGATCCTGTCATTGTGTTGAAAGAAGAGAATTTCTACTGGTTACAGCTGTATTAATAGATCCAACTATACATCAACCATAAACATTAAAACTTGTGTTGGGGGCTGGGGATTTAGCTCAGGGGTTACACTTCCTGCCTTGCAAGCAAGCACAAGGTCCCGAGTTTGATCCCTGGTACCAAAAAACAAAACAAAACAAAAAACTTGTGTTGGTAGTATCATAATTTTTTTCCATACCACTTACAGACTATGGTATACTGCTATTTGTGGTACATCTGTGATGTGGAGGGTGAGGCAGGAAGGAGAGAAGAAGGGGAAAAATAGGGAATATGTCAGTGGGAAGAGAGGGAGGTAAGAAAAATGTCAGTAGGTTAAACAATAGACAGGAGGTTGGACTCTGGAATTATTTTTATAGCTGGGGTAAAGGGATAGTTTTAAGGGGGATTGAAAGAGTACCCGTGTAGGCAGGAGAAGATATGCAGAAAGATGGAAGTGCATTTAATGAATGAAAGAGGCTGTGAGATGTTCAGAACCTATTAATATATTTGCAGGTAGTTTTGTTTACATCTTCTAAGCCCAATTTTGTTAGGGATGACCCTGACATCCCATTGACTGGTACTGTTTAGTCTATAGCACTGGTTAATTCTTATCCTCTAATGCAGTTATACAGGCCCCTGTTAGATTTATGCCATCAGGCAGCTGGAAAGGTGGGGGAAGGCAAGGAAATGAGATAATGAGGCAAAGAAGGGAAAAAGTTTCCCTTAATGCCCGACATTGACACACTGGAGACCAAGCTTCTGACACATGAGCCCCAGGACTCCCTCAGTCCATGTCCAAATCACAGCACTGTGGAAACAAGGAAACAAGGAAACAAGGACAGACCTTGTCCCATCACAAATGATAATGCAGCTTATAACTCATTTCCATCACAAGGCAAAGTGATTCTGATTATTTATAATATACTACATTAATGAAACCCACATTGGGTTCAACCCTATATGGTATTAAGAATTGTTAAAGGACAGCCAAGAAGTCTCAGTGGGTTACTAAATTAACACATTGAGAGCAGGATGATGCCTTATTTATGAAGTCTGGTTTCTAAAAATGTGTTTTCCAAGTACTTTCAGCACTCCTGAAAAAGGATGAGCCAGGAGGAAAGAGAAGTAGGTCTTTATTACACAAATATCACTGGAGATAACTGCCAAAGTGTAACCAACAGAACAAATGGTAAAGATACAAACCATCAGATTTGGTCAGCAGAGAGGGCTGTAGGCTGTGGTACTGTCAGCCAATCATATGCAGATATGTTCTGTGCCTACCCCATCCATTCTACTCAGCCACGTTGGGCTGGTGAGAGACAAGTTGTTTTCTAAGAACGGAGGAAAAATAAAAACAGTGCAGCCTAAGAATTTGAGAAGCAAGCCATACCTACCCATGCTTCTTGCTCATTATGCCACTATCAGGCAATTATTGACTTCTTATTTGCAGTGGCTCTCAAACATGGGCATTCATCAGTATCACCCAAAGGGTCTTAAATTACAAATTGCAGGGGCACACCCTAAGAGTATCTCAGGCTACAGGTGGAGCCCAAGAATTTCCATTTATGACAAGTTCCCAAGTGACAGAGTGCTGCTGGTCTAGGGAGCACACTCTGAGAACTAGTACCATATTTATTATTCCTTTGGCATTCACTTCAGTTCTCTTCTCTGAAGTTTAAGTTAGTCATTAAAGAAGCTTAACAGTAAAGGAAATGAGGCAGAGGAAATACTAAGCTGTCTTACACCCAGGAATAAGGCAATGCATAAGCAAATTAATATAGCAAGTAACAGGCTGAAATGGGGTGCTTATTAGACTAGAGCTTCTGGTGGGAAGAATGGAGATAGGGAGAAAGCAAAGTGGGAGTTAATTTGTTTATGTGCCAACTGGCCCTGCAAGCCATGAGCAGAAGAGGCATCCAACCTAGTTAGTGCTAATTGTGGCAGAACATTTTTAGAGCCCTGACAGCATCCTCTAGGGAGGCCCCAAATCCCTACCATCCCTGAACATGAAGGAGCTGGCACGTCACATTTCTTAGCACACTTGGGCTTACAACAGAAAGTTCATCTTCTAGCCTCCAGGTCACTCCAGGAGGAATAAATTAATAGATAATTAATCCTTCATGGAGTGGTTTCTCCATTGCTTAGATCAACTTGGAAATGTTTTCTGTAAAGCTAACATGCCTTTGGGAAATCACAAAATCTTGCCTTCATTATCTTGCTGCTGTGTTAGTAATTGATGGAGTAAAGTAGTGATGAGGCATCCCCTAAAGTGCCTCCATGAACCTATTCTTGAAATCAGCATAGGGCTATGCAAGGCCATTTCAACACAGCAATCATTTAGCAATGTAGTATCAGAAATGTAGAATATAGCGTGTGTAACACCTGTGTGTTACTAACAACATATCATGTAGCATAGGACTTGGCTGGTGAAGAAGGAAGGTGAGCAACAAGAGAAAGGGCCCAAAATGAGGTCAAATTCAGGTGTAGGGGACTTGTAAAAACAAGAGAATAAATGAGTAATTCTGGGAACCAGTTGCAGGCAAGGAGGAAAAAATTCTACCCTGTCTCTACTGAAAACAGCAATGAAGCAGAATTCATGAGGCAACTATTAAGTGGGGGTTGGAAAAAAAAATACCAGAGTCTGAAATGCTACCAAATCAGTGGTAGTTAACTCTAGATTTTGTTCTCTATCTCTTGCCTCTTAGACAGAGGAGCAATCACAGCAGAGAAGAGTAGCAGAGTCCCCATGTCTCTGGCTACAGAACCTAGAAGGGGGCCTCCAGAAAATGAAATTTGCTGAGAAGATTGTGATGAGACTGGATCTCAGTGACAGGTCTCCCACCACCTCAGCAGCTATTAAGTATAGTAGCTGCCCTCTTCCTATGGTGCCTTGCCCCCTCCCCTGTGTGACGTCATGCCAAGATGGTTGCTCCCACCAAAGAA